TCCTATCCTTCCAGCACACCTCTGTGACTGTGCAGCTCTGTCCCATTTCACCCCATGCACACTCTCTTTCTCTGCCTGCTCCCTCTCATTCCTCTGGATCTTCCAAATGAGTAGCTTCCTTGGCAGATTCACTGATGTCAAATAATTTATTGTGGCTTTAAACTTAGAGATCAATTGCCTGATGTCTACCTTGGTACTATGTCGGTTTTATTCATCTTAGGCATCCTTGTTTGCTGTGGAGTCAAAGGATTTCTTATCCTGCATACCTGAAGTTTTCACCTTAGAGATTTGAAACATATATATATATATATTTATATTTCAGCACTTTGTAGCCATGTTCTCTGCAGTGGTCTGCTTCTTTTCTTGGGAGGGGATTAATATGCTGTAGGGATAGAAAGAAAGGGGATCATGTTGACTTTTCATGTTTCAGGCTTCAGGCAGCCATCTCACACTATCCCCTCGACCATGTGGAATCCTAACCTCTGTGTGTCACTGCCCTTTGGCTGTATATTAATTCAGTTAAATCCTTAAGGAACTGTGCTGTTCTTTGCAGCAGTCTGATGAACACATGGCTTAGCTGCTTGTTGATTTGGACGCTTAATCTACCTACAATTATTGAAAAGCCATGTTAGAAAATTGATGGTTTTTATGCAGTGAATAGTGAGCATATAGGACATGCCATTTTATACCAACTTGGGATAGCTAATAATGAAAATGTTCTATACACACAGTTACAGATAAAAGGCATTTGCATAAGACTGTTTGTCCATTTTATTGGTGTTTTCAAAAAGCTTTTTTTTTTAATGCCTTTGGATGCATCTTTCTACCTCAAGAGAAATTTTCACTTTTTACATGACAAACAGCAGTGGAAATGTCTTCAAAAGTTCACACCTAGCCCCACAGGAGGCAAAGGTCTGATGTTTGCTGAGACCGGTCTGATGTGATCTACTTTCCTTTGTTCCCTGGGCATGACTTTTTTTCTTGCTACCTGGAGCTGCAGAGCCTTGGATGCTGGATTTTGTGCATTCTGGTCCTGAGTCCCGAGGTCAGAGGGAAGCTGTTGTCCAGTTGTCCTCCTGTCACTGCCAGCTCTCCGTTAAAGGCAGGGTAAAATGCATTAAACCTCACTCTTAACATTCAGCCCTGCCATTGACTGTAGCTGCCTGCCCTATACTGTCAGTTCACCTGTAGAGTCCCCTGGCTTTCCTCTGGCATCAGGAAAAGTGTGACACATTGATATTTTTTTTTCATAGTCTGTGACTCAACACCCCCAGCCCCCAGAGTAGCCGTGGGACCTTGTCACACAGAGTTTGGGAAGGGAAAGCCTTATGTATTGAGCCTTCTGTTTGCTCAGAGAGGCACGCATAAGCCAGGAACATAGTCGTTGTTCAAAATGCTGATTTTGCAAAGGAGAGAGAAATTATTTTTCTGATTAAATATTCATGATGTGCTCGTATATTACAGCAGTAGGTTTATAAATAGATGTATGCATTGCCGGCTGGTAGGAGGCTTTGTAGAGGAAACCATTCTCTTTTTTGTGCTGTAATCTGACATCTCCATGCATACAGAGGTCTAGACCAGCACATTTGTGATAATGCCCAAGGAAAAAATTGCTATAATTATTAAAAAATAATAAAGCACAACAATGCATTTTATTTTAATCTGTCTTTAAAATTAAAATACTCAGGTAATTAATATTTCTGTAGCTAGTAGCCATAAATATTTTACCAGAATACTTGGACTCTCAGGACAACTGGGGCAATTGTATATGACCTGGCATAAAAACTCTTCTGTCTTCATGGCATATGTATAGCTTTCACATATTCTTCTTTATCATATGAGGTTGTCTTTTTGAATTTTTTCCCTTTGTATCTTACACAGCTGCCTAACTCCTTGCAGGCACACACGCTCTCAGCCCTCCCCCAGACATCTGTTCTGCTTCTCGGTACCAAGTGCCAGAGTTTGAGCTTGTTGGGAGGAGGGGCAAAGACAAAATCCTGAAAAAAAATTAGGTGGCAGTGATATTTTTAACAATATTTGCAGTAGAATTTTATTTTTAACCTCTGTTTTTAAAAAGAGGTCTAAAGGCGTTAACTAAAAATACAGATTTTTTTTCAGGTTTTATCTGGAAAAGGTCAGGCTTGGGTGGGGGTTGGTTTATCATCTGGGAAAAGGCTTTCCTCCAAAATTTTTCCCAAGCATCTCAGCAGTAAAAGGCCATGGCAACTGTAAACCTGTATCTAGCCTGGGTTTATTTTTCCCATATGGGAATATGTTTCATTAGAAGCATAGCAATACCTTCATCACTACATTTTCGTCCACAGAAGGTCTTAAATACCTTGCTTCTACTTGAAACACATCCATTATGTGAAATTTTCCAGCCCTAAGCTACCATGGGTTTCTAGAGATCCCAGATGGTCAGTATTGCTCCCATAAAGTCCAGAATGCCAAGATTTATTCTACTGTTTATTCTACTGTTATATTATTATATAATATAGTATAATAATATTATACTATTTATTCTACTGTACCAAAGTGGTCCTGTTTGGCATTTGGGTTTTGGCGGTTTTATTTAAAAAGCTGAGCAGAAAGTGCTTGAGCTGTCAGAGCCAGACTATTTCCCTCAGCAAGCAGTAGGTGAGAACCATGGGGACCATTCCCTTCCTTGCTCTAGGAACAATCACAGTCTCCTCCTGTGCTCCTCCCTCTGGACTTGTCAAAAGAGACTGTTGTGGTCACCCACTTGGCAGATTTTGCTGTGGATCCTGGTCTAGCCTTAAAGAAGCAGAATGCGGCCCAGTGTCTTCCTCTTTTATTTCATACTGGTTGCCTTGGGACGTTTTTCTCTCACCCCCTTGCATGTATCATGCATCAGAGGCATAACCAGGCTGTTTCTGGTTTCTGCCTTCTCACCCAGGCACTTCTCTTCTGCTTTCTTCCATGCAGATAGGTCATGTGGAAGATGAGTGATAAGCCTAGAGATGTGGAATATAGGGGATTTATTTCAGTTACTATGTCTGGGTGATAGAGCATAGGGTATGAAATACACTAAATCCATGCCAGGTTAGGAAAGATCAGTCCTAGCAACAGAGCAGGCAGATGGGAGCTGCTTTATGGTTGCAACTCATGAATTTTAGGAAGGACAAGTTTAAGTTGCTCTTTTCCCCTCTCTCTTTTCACTTCCGGTCCTCAAGCATGTCTCCCTCCTGTTCTTGTAGTCACCACAGGCACAGAAGCTCTGTGTGGCCCCAAGTACTCCTGCAGAGACTTGAAAGAAAACTTCCCAGCAGCAAAAACTTCTGGAGTGGCTTGGCCACTCCTAGGCTCAGGCTGAAGTAGGAAGCATCAGAGGAGTGACTTTCTGGGGTGGTCTTCACATAACATACAGAGGGGAAAATGTCTAACAAGGGAAGATGACAGTCAGGAAATTTAAAACAAATAAAGTGGAGCACATTTTCCCTGCACTAGTAACGAATCTGTGAGACCAGAACTTTTAGATGCCAGAGATACGGATTCAAGAAGGCATTAGAACAATTCATGAAGGACTGGTCCACCAATGGCTATTGAAAATGCTGGCCTGGATGTAGTCTCTCAGAAGAGCCTGAGTCACTCATTGCTGGCAACTGAGCTAGTCTATCAGGGATGGCTCCATGCGTGAGTCGTGTGCTCTTTCTTTAAGCGCTGCTGTTGACTACTCTCACAGATAACATGCTCAGCTAAGATGGGCTTTACTTTGGTCTAAGATATCAGTGCTTAGTGGCTCTTAAGATGGAGTTTAGTCAGGCGATAAAACAGTCTGCGTGATGCTACCGCCTACATTTTCAGGGGAGCGATCTTGTAGGTCCCTCCAGTAGTTTGGACCCATGCCTGAGCAGTCTCCACAAGGGGACACCAACCTGGTGGGATGCTGCTGTACTATCTGAGCCACAAAATGGTTGTCACTGGGGGTGATTATTGGCCAGATCCCCAGCTAGCTACATTTTTGGGAAGCTCCAAGATGCAACACTAGTAGGGTTGTCCTTAATAAAAGATGGTTACTGAGGGGCGTGATGTCTGTTTAAGGTTTTTATGCTCTATAAAACAGTCCTGAAAAGGACAAAATCAAATAAGGAGTCTCTAAGCCTTTTCTACTGTGGAATTTGCCTGCCTTTTGTAATATTCCTTCTTGCCCCCATTTTTGTTTGTACTGATAAATATCCTTGCATTAATAAACTCATAATGCATCTTGTTTATCCCTTCAAAGCCAGCCCTTGCAGCTTTCATGAATATTTTAAGATATTTATGGCTTTATAAATGACTGAAAATCTGCAATTTGTCATTTGGAATTAAGAAAAATCTTCCTTCTACTTAGGGCTGAAGCACAGCTTTGGCCTTTGAGGGACTGAGCCACCTCTGGGCCTGATAGACAAAAACAAAGTCAGACATTGCCCAGATTTACAGCAGCAAGTGGCTCTTAGTTACTCAGATGTCTTTGGTAACGTGTCATCCACTGCTGCTGGCAGGGATCAGTGTTTAGACTCAGAATTAATTTCTCTCTTGCTGGAGAGAACACAAAAAATATCTCTTCTGCAAGAGTTAAAAAAATAAAAAAATATTAAAAACAGAGAAAGAGGTAGTAACAGGGAGAGAAGTGAAAACAGCACCAGGCGGGTGTAAAATACATATATATATATTGCATATACATACTGCAAAGGTAACAGAAAATGGCTTTTAGAAGAAAACATTGTATTTCACTCTGTTGTGTTCTGTACTTTCAGCTTTGAAATACAGGAAGTTAAAATAATTGTTAAGGTTTCAAAAGGGATTTTATTTGTAATTGGTGAAGGGCTAAAGAGTTGGTTGAGGAGGGATAATAATCAAAGGAGCCTTTTCAGCACTAAACTGTAGTCCAGAAAATCAAAGGGAGGAATGTTAATTGGTTTGTACAACATGATATTCTTAGTTCAGAGTAGCTTCAGCCACTCAATGGTACTTTTTCTTTTTTCTCTCTGTCTTCATAGGTTGATTAAGTGAATAGAAAAAAAAAAAAAAAAAAAAAAGAAAAACGAAGCTGCTTTCAAGTATTGAAGACACAAGGCCAGGATGAACACGAAGGACACAAAAGTGGCTGAAGGAGGTCTCAATGTCACGCTTACCATACGCCTTCTCATGCACGGCAAGGTGAAGCATTTTCTGTTGCCCCAGCAGTTGCCTGTGTATCGCGCGAGCGTGTGCAGTTGCTGTCGGAGCCCCACAGTGGCATTGAGAGAGGGTCTGCTCCTCCTCCTCCTCCGACCTGAGTCAAAAGCACCATTACCGTGACTGAAAAATCACCCCCTGCCTTTCAAGGCATCACACTTGAGTTTGCGCTGCAGCCTGAGCTCATTGGAACAAACCCTGCTTGTAAGGAAGCTGTTTTGAGCAGATCCAGAGGCAAAAAAAAGAGAGTTCTTTCATTGATCTTTAGCCAAATTAGGCAGGCCCTTGAGTAAGGCTGACCGGCATACAGCTTGCCTTTCTCATCATTTGATGGATTTTGCAGGGGTTTTTTAAGGCACCAGAACTTTGACATGTGTGAAATAATTGCCACGGAATTGCTGTCTATTTCTGTTGAACGCAAATGGGATGGTTCTTCGTTAGTCCGATGTAGCATCTTATTAGTGAGAACCCCCTGATATACGAAGCGTTCACCCAGGTCCCCTGCGGGTTTGTTTTGGAAGCTTGACTGTCGTTTCATTTCTGGCCAGCGCAGCACTTAAGCGCGCAGATAAGTGTGAAATCTGTGCCGTAGACAAAGTGCCAATTCGGTATTGTCAGACTTAACAGTCTGATAGCCGTTTATTTCACATTGCCAGATCACAACATGGGCTTTTAATTAAAAAACACATTTCATAGGTTGGTTGGTATTACTTCTGTCAGGCAACACCAAGCATTTTTAGGCTTAATGAATCAATATTATATAAAGGAGATGATTTTGACTCATTCTTAACAACAGACAGTGAATATATATAATTCTGGAGATCGAATTTGTATATATAAATCTAAAAAGTAGTATTACTCATGAAATTTAACTGAATAGCTAAAAATACATTTACATTTTAAAACAGTGCATGCTTTCAACCTGTGGCATGAACACCCATGTGACATACCCATAGCACAAATAGGAGACTAAAATGTCTCTTTCTCTATTTTACTGGTGGGGCTGCTAAGAAGTATGAGGTGTTACAGTTTAAGTTTGCAAATTAAAAAACTCAAAACTTGCAATATGCTAGATCAAATTATGTATTTTCTCAGAAACCATTTTGTTTTATTTTTTTTTCCCCCTGAAACATTCAGCTTCAGGCAGGCATCTGGTGTGTAATATGTGCATCTTAAATAGGGATCTGTCAAGCAAATTTAATAACAGTCTCTCTTACCAAACCCACCTAAAATCTGTGCGCATGTCTGCACTGAAAATTAGATCTTAGGGATTGATTCTACCGAGTTCTGGTCCCAATCCAGAAAAGCATTTGAACACATTCTTATCCTGGTGGGTATAAGTAGCCCTACTGGTTTCCATCAAATTCACATGTGCTTAGGTGTGCTTTGCTCTGCTTCTTTCAGAGTCATGCCATTAAAGCAAAAATCAAGTATCATTTTCAGGACATTTCGGTTAAACTGTGGGCTAGTGTTTTTTTGAAATGAAAAATAAGTAATCAAATTAAATTAGAAAAAGCTGATTTTCTATGTTTAAACATAGATGACTGTATGTGCAACCACTTTTGACAGTAACTAATGTTATATGTCCAATCTTCAATGCATATGTAGCCCCAAGGGTCTAAATTAAACCCATAAAAGCTACAAAGTTCAAATTTTAAATGGGAGTATACCATGCATCCTCAGTTAACAAGGCACAATGGGTATATGGTTAACTCTACTATGCTCTAATCACGTATCCTATTGTGCCTAAGTATTGCAAAGAGTACATTAAATCAGAATTTATTTTGGTTATGAAAGTCAGACCCTTATGGTTTTTTTGATGTCACTTCTGTGAATTAGAAATGCTAGTATAGAGGAATGAAGGATGTCTGAGTCAATATGAATTCGGTGTGAGAAGGTCACTCTGAAAGCTGCGTGTGCCTCTGAAAAAGAAGAAACATTTTTCTAGGGTCTTCCTTAAGATTTGTTGTGGTAATGACATTGGTGGAAATTGCTGATCTCTAATTAGTATTTCTAGACAAAACAATTAACTGAAGCAGAGCTTGGGATGTAAATAACTGATCATAACTTGAAAGAGAGGAGTGGAATTAAAAGGTTGTTTTTAGAAATAACGATACCAAACTGGATTCAGTTAGATCATTTTAGAGTAAGATCATTTTAAAGTTATTTATTTATTAATGTGTTTCATGGAAATATGATGGTCTATCCCCACTAACCTTAACTTGTCTCTAAACCTTTATTTCCAGTGTACCTTTGCATAGGGAAGGTTTATGTGCTTTGTGATATTTACATTCATTTTGACTGAAAGTCCATAACTTGTGCTACCATGCTTAGTTATCTTGGCTTAAGTGCTGCAGACTTAGGAAATTTTCAGCGTGTACTTTCATGTGATTTGTATAGGGGCTTTAAGTCAAGGTTGGACATCTTAATTACACAATTAAGCTAAATCCTGTACCTGCAGACAGAAAAATCAGGATATGTACAAATGGGCAGACCTCTGCAAAAGGGTAGGGAATAAAAGAGCATCTTAAACAACAAACAAACAAAATAAGTAGCAAAACCCAAAGCTAACGTTAGTGCCTGGTGAAAACAGATGGGAATGGTCCTGAGCTCCACAAGACCCAGGGCCAGTGCCTCCCTGCAGGTAGGACATCTCTCATCAGCTCCTTTGCTTTATCTTGCTCTGGGGAAGAGGGGCTGTAGGACCAGCTGAGCTCCTGCCAGGAAGCTTTGTGCAGCCTCCTGTCAAAGAGGCTGGGATGGCTACTTGGAGGACCAGCTCAGCTGCTCCTCCGCAGTGCAAGAAGATTTGGGAGCAGCTGGCTTGCAAAAAGGCAAGGCACAGCCTTGATTTTCTCAGGGCAGAAAATATGATATTAAGGGAGGGCAACAACTATTTTTATCTGTTGAAGCAGCAAAAAGGCTTGTGCAGGCCCAGCAAAAAGCTAACCACCACGAAGTAGAAAAGGTTAACCTCAGGGTAAATATTGCCAGGGCCTAATATGAAAGGTGTCCTCCTGAGCAAGAGCTTCAGAGAGTGTGTGATGGTGTAAGATGAAAGGCCTGATTGTCATCTTGCACCATGTTACATCAGTTAAAAAGTTGTGATAGTGTGACAGCCCTGAAAAAAAGCCAGGAGCAACACAGAGCATTTCTCATACTTTCTTGCGATGAATTAGAGGGCAGATGTTAGGGACTATGCCCCAAGGGCAGTGCTCAGATGTTCTTCACATCCACAGAGAAGCAACTGTCTCTGTTCACGGGGAATTTTAAAAGCAAAATTAGGAAAAACTTCTTATGCAGGTGTGTGAGGAGGGGAGAAGGCTGCCTGGGCATGCTGTGGCATTCATCACTGGAGGTTTTTAAGGACAAGTTAGACAAAAATGAATACATCCCATAAAGCTGCCGTAGCACTGCAGCCTTTGCTGCCCAGGACCTTTTTGATTGAGTTATCTGAATGTTGCTGTGGAGAGGGCAGGATATTAGGAAAAACTTCTTCCCTGAAAGGGTTATCAAACATTGGAACAGGCTGCCCAGGAAGCCGTTGAATCAGCATCCCTGGAGGCATTTAAAAGACGGTTAGACGTAGTGCTTAGGAACATGGTTTAGTGGTGGACTTGGCAGTGTTAGCTTAATGGTTGGACTTGATGATCTTAAAGGTCCCTTCCAACTGAGATGATTCTATGTACAGGAGTTGGATACGTAGATTATATTAAATAATGCAGAGATGCATTTTCATCTTTTATTAATGAGAAACATGCACCACATTAAGGAATAAAGATGTTTCATGCATTTCAGTAGAGAAAAACAGGCAATATAGGCTGGGGCTGTTTACATTGCCCTACTTCTGTGTTTTCCATCTAATTCCTGCTGTTTCTTGAAGTAAAATAAGTAAAATCACTGTGTAGGGCAGAGGCATAAATGGGTACAGATATTTTATTACCTTTGTCTTCTTTAAAAGTCTAACTTCTGGGCAAGATTAGAATATTGCAGGGATTGCAAGATTTCTTCTTCCATCAAATGCAGAAGTTGCAGCATTTACCCAGATCAGATCAACATTTTTGAAGGGCTTAAGGAACACAAATTCAGCTTGTGTGCATTAATGGGAAAACAGTTCCTAGCTACTAGAGCCCTCTGTAAGGAGAGGCAGAGCTCAGGCTCCAAAAGAAATGTGCCTTTAACTTTTTCTTCCTTTTTTAATTTTTGTGAAAAATCAGCCTTCTTTTGGCTCTCTGCATGTTATAGGGTCTTCGATGGAGCTTGATCTTTCTCTCTTATCATGCCTTGCTCACCTTTTGCTGAAATTTTTATTCCCGTGACTTGTGGCTGGTTTTTTTTCTTGCTTACTGCCACAGGTAATGAGGTTGGAAGATTGTGGAAAATCGTAACCGTGCCCAGAGGTGCCTGCTAACATACCTTAGTGCTTGACATTTGCAATGCTCTTGTTCTTGTTCTGGTCAGTTCATGCCCAGAAAGAAATAACTCTTGAAAAAGCACCTACTTTGACTATACGGGATAATGATTTTGGAATGGTTTGGATTTGTACACAGCCAGTGTTAACAAGTTTATTAAGACCTTAGAGACTCACCATTAAAGGTTAATTTTAGATGCAGATGGTAAAGAGACTGTGCTGGTAGGAAGTTGTTAAGTTTCAGGATAGCAGCTTAATGGAGTATTAAAAGTTGTGACTGTGAGGTGGAACAAGAGAAAATGTTGAAAAGTGCCAGCATGGAAGGGACAGCAGGGTCACCAATCCACTGTGGTCTCCATCTCGTAGTGGTGGTGCAAGCGTCTCTGCTTCCTCTCACCAGTACAAACCTGCAGAAGAAAAAGATGCATCATTTCCAAAGGAACCGTGCGAAGGTATCCATCAATGAAACCATATTGGGTGCAGTGAAGTCAGCAAGAAACCAAAGTAGAATATATTAATATATTCAAATCCAAGGAACCTTTGAGAGAAAGGGGAAGGAGTTCAGAAATAG